AAAAAAAATAAAATCAGTTCAAATCCTAGGTATCGCATTTCACTGTGCGAATCCTTGGCAAAATTATTACTTCTTGTCTCACGGTGAAGGAAAACATCGTGAGGAAACTGAGAGAACCTAGCAAGATCCCCCTCGTATTGGAGGAACTTCCATGCCCAGCAGTGGGCCGTCAAAAAGGGCTGAATTTTCAATATTATTTTTATTTATTTTCATTATTTCCTATGAAATATTATTTGATTGTTATATCATCTTGCCACGTTGGAAACAAACTGTCACAAAATAACAACCAATAGCAGCAAATAAATACTGTGTCCCGTTTGATTTAATGTCTATTAAGGTGATCCATTGTTTATCTTCGAACCTTGTATCACATCTTAGAGATGCTGGTGAACATAAGTACAAAAAAACATACTGACGGACTTACATACTGGCTTTTAATTAATTTTTTTTTGTTAAAGTCCATTAGAAGAAATTATATTTTGATTTGATAGCGTTTTGTGACAGCACCCTTATGTTTAAAGTCAGTGTGGTAAGTACACATATAAATATAATTTAACAGAAGTATTAACGACACTCTAGCAGATCTTTTCCTTTAATCAAGTGCTAACGTGCGCTTACATTTTTATTACAAAATTTAATTTCAAAGTGACGAAAGTGTATTAGGTGAGGTATTTTTTTTTATTTTTTCTAATATAAAAAAGTTATGTCAATCTAAAGAATCACCTAAGAAACACCTAGTGTGTGAATATAATTTTCAAACTGTTGTGATTTATTTTTTACTAGAGACTAAACTCTCGCTCCGCTCGGGTTCGTCTCTAGAAACACGTTTTAAAGTTTAGTATAGATTTCTCAGAGATGAGATATTTTCCCGCAGTAAAAATTATCCTATATATTGATAACCAGCCATCCATACCAAATTTCATCAAAATCTGTCTAGTGATTTTATCGTGATGCGGTCACAGACAGATAGATAGACAGACAAAAATTCTAAAAAAATAGATTCAATATATTACTGTAAAGTCGCTATATTACTGTAAAGTTTCATCAAAATCCGTTCAGTAGTTTTTACGTGAAAGGGTTACAAACATCCATCGATCCATCTTCAGAAATTTTCGCGTTTATAGTACTAGTAAGATTCGTTCTATTATATTTTATGTTAAAAAATACTTAATTTACGATTTATTTTATTTTTTTACTAGAGACGTACCTGCCCTCGCTTCGCTCGGGTGCATCCCTAGATACGTCCTAAATAGATATGAATAATTATTGCGAGTGTACCTAAAGAGAAAGACTTATGCTATTGCAGATTTTTCTGTAGGCCTTATTAAGACCTACAATTTTTTATAGTTCATTGTTTTGATGTATCTCTTAGGGTTTAGCCAGCGTAAGATATGTAAATTTCAAAGAACGATTCCATAGAACCAGTTATTGCGTTTTCCCGTGGGAATGAAAAATTTCCTAAATGCTGACCCGAGTAATATTACACAAAATTTAATTAAATTCCATTCAGTGTTTTTTGCGTGAAACGCGCACAACGATTTGACTAAGTTAGTTTTATTATATGTTTAGATTTAATATATTCAATTAAATAGCCAACATAAATGTTAATTATAAAAATATATATTTTGAACTAAGACACTAATTAAAAATCAACGCTAAATATTATACTACTAAAGCCTCAGTCTAGATATAATCTACTTTTAAATTAACAATTAAAAAAACGTAGATATTCGCAATTACAAAAAATTAACAAAAACGCTTCCGAAATCTTGATAATATTTTACATAATATAATAAAATATTAAAAAGTTTTGATTTGATGTTTCATTAACATGCTTAATTTAAATTAACATCTCCACCCTGCTTAGGCCAATTTCGCATGAACGGCTTCAATTTGTCTTACCTAACATAAGAGTATTAAAAATAGTCCATACTAATATTATACATGTTAAAGTTTGTGAGGATGGATGGATGTTTGTTACTCAATCACGCAAGAACGGTTGAACGGATCTGGATGAAATTTGACACAGAGATAGATTATAGTCTGTAATAGCACATACGTTACTTTTTATCCCGGAAAAATGTACGGTTCCTGTAGGATAGATTGGTTTTTGTCTAGGGTCGAACCCGAAGTGAAGTGAGTGTGAGTCGCTAGTATTTGTTAAATTCACTCATATGCGGGATAACTATAATGTTGAATTAAATACTATTACTCGGTTTTTAAAAACTGTTGAGTTTCTCGCTGATTCTTCTCAACAGAAGTGGCTTTCAAAGTTCAAACTGACGTTAGCTAGTAACCTCACGTACAGACTACTTTGAATGTTCAATTTAAACTGAGAATTTAAAAGCTTGTATAGGTCTAATTGGATTAAGTTAATTTTCATTTAAGACAATAGTAACCCAGTGGTATTTGGTTATACGCTTTCTTGGGAAACAAAGTGAAATGAGTTCAAATCCCAGGTTTCGCACTTCACTGTGCGAATCATTTCCAACATAATTACCACTTGTCTTACGATGAAGGAAAACATCGTGAGGACACCTGGATGTCTGAGAGAACTTAGCAAGTTTTCGAAAGACATGTGAAGTCCGCCGACCCGCACTTGGCCAGCGTGGTGGACTATGGCCTGATCTCCCCCGTATTTGAGGGGGTCCCGTGCCCAGCAGTAGGATGTTAAAAAGGGCTAAATACAATTTTTACTTTAAAATTGTTGGAAACAAACTTTTGCAAAATGACAACCAATAGCAAATATCCTGTATCCCAATTAATTTACTGTCTATTAAGGAGAAATATTGTTGTGCTGCTTTCGTCGGCTACAGAATCCAGCAGAGAGCTGTTCACATTGATTGTAGGTGAGTGTCTTTCTTTTGTAAGAAAAGGACGAGCTTCGAAGAACCGGCCAGCGGCGTGCTTCCGGCGTTTGCTATCGAAGGATTTGAATTTTATTGCTATAATCACCACCCATTCTTTATCTCCGAATCTTGTCTCACAACTTAGAGATGCTGGTGAACATAAATACGAAAAAATATACTGGCTGAAAACGTTTGAAGTTGAACTCGACAAAAAAATCATAAATTATAATTATTTTGTATTTTTTGTTATAGTCCACTTGGATAAATTATATTTTGATTTGATTTTGCGTTTTGTGATTGCACCCTTATGTTTAAAGTCAGTGTGGTAAAGATACATATATAAATATAAAATCAAGGAAGTGTTAACAACACTCAAGCAGATCTTTTCCTTTAAACAAGTGCTATCGTGTGCTTATATTTTTGTTATAATTTTTTTTATTTTAAATTGTGAAAAAGGAAATCAAATAGATTTTCAAACTGAAGTAGTACGTATTAGGTAAAGTATTTTTTTTAATTTTTGTTATAGTCTTCAGTTAGTTACGAGTAGATTGGTTAGGTATAATGCTATGTTTCAAATGTGTGAATATATTTTTCAAACTGTTGTGATTTATTTTATATGGAAACGCTTAAATACAGACAGAGTTACTTTCGCATTTAATATTCGTATGGATATATAAAACTGGCTTTTTTGTGGTGCTGGTCTATCATCATCGGCTTGGGCTGAACGTTGAGAAGTCAGTCAGTGAGTCGCGACATTGCCTTTGATATAAAATAAAAATAAATATTGCGAGTGTACCTTAGGAAATAGACATATCGGATTTTTCTGTAGACCTTTTTAGCCCTACAATTTTCTTGTACATTGTTTTGATCTATCTCTTGAGGTTTAGCCAGCGTTATCCATATAAACTAAGGACGTCTCGATAAAACCAGTTATTGTGTTTTCCCATGGGAATGAAAAAAAATCCTGTAGTAAAAGGTATCCTAAATGTTGTACCGAGTAATAAGTTATCACTTCACCAAATTTCGTTGAAATCTGTTCACTACTTTTTGCATGAAACGCGCACACACAAACAGACAAACGGACAGAAATTTTAATGACTATTGTTTTAAGGCCTATTTTGTGTACATAATATGTTACAATCATTGTTTTTAAAAAATATTACGCTAAATTACTGCTTTATTATTATATAGTAATAGATTAATTATACCGTTCCGTAACTACGGTTTCATTAACCTTTCCCCCAAAGGTTGTCTGTTTCATCAAAGGCGGTCTTATTCCTCATAGCAAAAAGACCACCTTTGTATGCCTTTTTATTATTATTTTATTTTCATCTTCTGTACTCTTCTTTTGTGTGCACAATAAAGTATTTATCTATCTATCTATATAAGTTAATCAATACATATAATAAAATTGTAACTAAGCCGAATCTGTACATTAAATATTTTTTTGGAAAATCTCATTGAAATAGACATTATTATCGATACAGAGTCCGAATCTATAGTTTTAAGAATTTTTGTCTGTCTATCTGTCTGTTAGCGCATCACAGAAAAACCACTGGAGGGATTTTGATGAAATATAGGATACTTTTTACCGTGGGAAAATATCTCATTTCTGAGAAAAAATACAAAAACTGCAACGTAAGAGTATACTAATATGTAAAATCTAAGAATTTGATTTTTGGTCATCTGAACGCGGGCGGAGCCGCGGGCAATGCTAGTTAGTACAAAATAAATTTAATGTTTCATGCTAAAAACCGTCGTTATGCGAGCCAGACTACCACTTGTTCGTTTTTTTTCTTATTACGCAATCGGTTTTTTCTTTTTATAATTTTATTTACAAAATTTATACTTTTGTTTTATCAATTTAATGTCTGTGTCTGTCTCAGACTCGAATCAATCAATCTCGAATATGTTGTCTCGAATCAGGTCAAGATAGTTACTTATTTTGCGGATATTTTCATCTCAACTCAAAAAAATTACACCTTTAAATAAATATTTTTGCACCCCAACGTGTGTTTGCATCTTTTACATAATATGCCTAACTTTTGACGGCTTAAAATATAAAAATGAAATAGGTTCGAGAATAATGTAGTAGATTAAAAAATATTTTTAATTTTTTAAATCTTATTAGTGTTATTACAGATTATAAAAATGAAGACCATAGTGTTGTTCGCTCTATTCGTGCTCGCGGCCGCCGACCTCGAGAACTACACTACTCTGAACGATCACCTGGACATGGACGCTCTCGTCGGTAACATTACCGCAATGCAAAGCTATGTGGACTGCTTTCTTGATAGAATACCGTGCTCAGAAGTTGCTGCAAGTTATAAACGTAAGTAGAAATAAAGTTTAGAAATAAAATCTATTTTTAACCGACTTCCGAAAAAGAGGAGGTTCTCAATTCGTTGCAATCTTTTTTTTATGTATGTTCACCGATTACTCGAAGACGCCTGAACCGATTTGGATGTTTTTTTTAAAAGCGTATACTTCCCAGGTGGTCCCATATACCCCCCCAACGTGCGTTCACCTTGTCGTGGTGGGGGGTCTCAGTAGTGCCCGGCAATACAGCCGGGCGCGAATCCAAGAAACGCACAGGGAAGTGGCCCACTTCGGTGGGCGGTGGGAGGTGGCCCTCTTCGGGGGGCGGTGTACCATGTGGGTTGCTCCTGGTACTTATCTGATAGCAGAGTGGACCTTGGAGCAACCCCATGGTTGTTGTGGTCTGCTTCGGCAGACCTGCCGTCGGGGCGTCGTAGTTGAGTGCGTAAGCGATCCTGCGACGCCCTATTAAGACGGGGGAAGGTTTTGTTGAGTTTTAGTGGGTAGTACTGGCTTCGCCGGTGAGTCCCACACCTAGTGCGTAAATACATTTCCCAATGTTAAAAAAAAAAGGTGGTCCCATATAAATTTTATTGAAATCGGTCACGCGGTTTTTAAAAAAATCTATAATAATACTTTTTTTAATTGTTTAATCGAATATGTTATTAAAAAACTTTTTTCTTACAAATGACCTGCTTATTACGTCTACACTAAAAATAGAAAAATAAAAATTTTTTAAAAAAATAATAAAAACCGACTTCCAGGCATTCAAAATATTTTTTAGTTTTTACACATAAAATTCTCGAACTTCAAAATCGTTGGGACTTAAAATAAGTTTTCAGCGATGTAGGGTTAAGGTTTTTTTTGCATATAGAAACTCCTGCACCTAAAAATCACTTATTTTACATTAGAAAATAAACAAAGTGGTATAAAAGTGGTAGTAAAAATATTCGTACAAACCGACAATAGTCGGACGAATAATATTTTTTATTTATCCGATTACCGGACGAATAGCAACAGCCTATTGAATAAGAAAAGGATTCATATTATATTGGTCAAAATAGCTTCGAAAGTATAACCTTTAAAAAAATTTAATTTCAATCATATAAAATTGGATACTATGGGTTATCCGTAAGAAATAGACATATGTTACTGCGAAGTTTACCTTAGGATTTTAGGAGAAATACAATTCTCTAGGACATCGTTTTTATGTATCTCTTAAGGTTTAGCCTACGTAAGCCATGTAAATTTATTTTTCGGCGACTTTATTGCGAAATATTATTTTTTTCTACTTACATAAAAACTTAATTAGGTTTTATTATATATATTATATACCTATATTATATAAACCTTCCGAGAAATTTATTATATATTATATAAACCTTCCGAGAAAAAATATCTAACTGATGGTATAATCCGCGTCACAATCTGTTGTGTGGTTAAGGAGGAGTTACCGGATACACAGATTGACAGACGTGAAAAGAAGATTTTACATTATCACAGATAATATAAGACTATACTAGATACTATTTAAGGTAAAGGGTGAGCCGCTAGTTTAACTTACTTTTATACTTTCTTTATATTTATAGGTTTAATGCCAGAAGCTGTGAAACAAGCTTGCTCGCGATGCAACGCGAATCAAAAGTACCAATACGGGCGATTTCTTGAAGCAGTCAGGGTTCAGCTTCCCATAGAATACGACAACTACAGAAAGCACTACGATCCAGATAACAAATACTTCGATGCCTTGATAAAGGAATTATCTAACTATACAACCCGTGTTGATTGATATGGGTTTATTGAGATAATATGAAAGCAAATGTCGGTGTAAAATTATTTATTTTCTAATATTAATTTATACCTGTGATTTATATTCAAATTTTGATATAATAGTGATAATAATAATTGATCATTAAATTATAGTATGCTTGACGGTCATCTTATTAAATGAATTGATTATTTGCTTTTAAACGCCCTTTAATGTCTTAAATTTTATAAAAAACTGGAAAACTATTGAAAAAAATAATAAATACTTAGCACAACACCCATACAGCTAAAGGTACTTTACAAGGTAAAGGTAAAAACTTTCACATTTTTAATATTAGTAAGAAGTAAGATTCCCCGTATATTCCTTTCTCCTTGTATTTTTTAAATTGAAAAATATTATTTGTTTTGTTTGTAGGTTTTGTTATTGTAGCTATTTTAATTGTTTTTATTTTATGCTAAGTTATTTTAATTTTTATTCGTATATTGTAATTCTGATAGTTTTTGTAGTGTGTTATTTATTATCTATTATTCTTCAATTGTCTGTATAAATAAAAAATATTATTCATATTTACAGTTTTATTTTATTTAATTGGTTGAGTAACCTAAGTGATTATAGATACTGTAAAAGTTTGTAAATACTGAATAGTAAAAAGATTAATATATACTGTACAAATATGTCGCTAATCCCATAATTACAATAATTAAAGTCTATATATATTTTATAAAAAAATAAACAAACCTTTTTATTTCTCGCAAGAGTAACAAAAGTAAGTAAACCATTAATTAAAAAAAGTAAATAGTACAGTAATAAATAAGTGTATATTTGTTTATGTATTTTTTAATTAAGTATGTTAGTATTTTTTCTTTAATGAGCATGAGTTACCTGTATATGTGTAAAAAAATATAAAAATATTTTTATATATTATTGTAAAGATTCATTAAAATCCATTCAGTATCCATTAGTAGGATTCAAAAATTTCAATTCAAATAAAAATATTATATCTTTTAAACACTCTCTCTAAGCTCTATCTTCAATGTACATATACTAGCGACTTGCTCCCGTTTCGCTACTTTCGTTTTTATTTATCTGTATAAATGTATAGATAATGTTCTAAATATAAAAGGCACCTAAATGAAAGTCGGATATATTGTAATTTGTGTGCGAGTCTAAATTGAAATTGGCCAACGAATGAAATAGCATAGCCTGTAGGAGTTATCCCCTCGATTAATCAATTAAAACTACAAATTGATTTCATTCCACTATTAAAGTAGTGTGGCAAGTACATGAAACGTATACCACAGGGTACTTTGATCTCTTCATAATCCTAGTTTTATATATATATTTTTTCATATTTCATATTAAACGGGGCACTCAATATTCCCAGCATGCTCTCAGAACCCAAGTAGTATTTACTTTTATTTGCTTGTGTATTTTATGTTTGTAATAATTTATAATGTATAATCTAGTTAGTGTAAGTGTTAGTGTAAGTGGCGCCGCCGTTCTAATTGCATGTAAAACAAATAAAAAAATAAATAAATAGATAAATAAGCACTAACTCTAGTATCATAAAAGAACTTAGTCTACTTGGCTTAATACTTTCTTAGATTTACGCAAATAGATATTTTTTTAAATACAGAGTGTCTGTTCGTCCTTTAATAGGACGAATAAAAAATAATTATTCGTCCTTCACAAAATATATAAATTATATATTATTATAAGGAAGGACGAAGAGACTAATAAGTAAGTAGAATAAGTAGCTGGGCAGAGCTCGGTTGGTTAAGGTTTTTTTTGCATACAGAAATTCCTGTACCTAAAAATATTATTTTTAACTTAAAAACTCTTGAACTTAAAAATCGTTGGAATTTAAAAAATAAGTTTCCAGCTCGGTAGGTTAAGGTGTTTTTTGCATATTCGTACAAACCGACAATAGTCGGACGAATAATATATTTTTTATTCATCCGATAATCGGACGAATAGCAATAGCCTCCTTTATATTTTATTATTCATCCTATTAAAGTACGAATAATTATTTTTTATTCGTCCTTATTTTAAGCACGAATAGCAACAGCCTTTTAAATAAAACCATCTCTAAGGATCTTTTCGCGGTTTTATTTTAATTTTTCATTTCCGCCGATTTCAATTCGAGGAAATGAGATTTTGATTGAGGGTCTCTCCCGTGACATTGAGAGCATTAGAAACGTCGGAAACCATAAATATAATCTCCAAATAAATCTACTCGGCTTCTTATATTTAATTTTATTATTAAAAGCTTAGCCAAGCCCACCAGCGTCAAAATTCCAAAAAATATTGCATGTTGTATACTTTTCATTAATCAATCAAACATAGGTATTTGCTTTGTTTCTTTCCACTGTAAGAATACACAGACGGATAGCCATAATGCTGAGTCATTTAATCGATGGCCGATGAAAAAATGATTGCAATTTTCATATATTCTTCACATTTTTTTCTCAATTATCACTAAAACAGACACACTTTAAAACAAGTCAAATACGAGTTATTGAGGGGTTTATTGAAGGTTTTTTTTGTTTCTACAGTTTTTAATTTAAAATTAATTAAAATGCTTGGTCTAAAATTTGTAGCCTATTTTTCAAACACTTGCTAATATATGATTAAAGTGAAAGTATACTTATAATACCTACACAGTAGAAAATAGTTCTAGTACTAAGCTATAGGTACTTAATACTATATTATGATGTCGAATATCTTACAACGACACCATAGTAATATAGTTCTATTCCATGAAGCTCTAGAGAATCTGATGATGAAGTGAAAAGACTTTTTCGAGACACTTTCCATATAACTGCTTTAGATTACAGCAATGAGGAAACGAATTATCTCATTCGCATTAAATCGATATGCTATCGCCGCTGTGGCTCTGCTAAGGTTCCATGCCATCTAGACTTTTGAAAACATACGAAACTGTAATTGCGAATTGTAAATGCAGCCATAATTAAATGATGATGATGATACACAATCAAACAAGGAAACAAACTGACAGACATAAATCAATTTTATGGAACTGTTGAACTGGCTTTTTTTATAAGTATAATATACCTACTAAAAAAATTACCGATATTTTTTTTATAACTTGGGTCCAAAGAATCAAATTGACATTATTTTAAATGACTAAAATTTTCAATAAAGCACACTACCAACTAGGTATCGAATCTTTTTCTTCTCCTTTTGTTCTAGTCATAATTTAAAAAATATAACAAGTTCTTAATATTAAAGTTATCGCTGCCGGCATTGAACTTATGTTTTAAGTGTTACCATAACAATAAATAAATTTTGTGATGTTATGATGTTAGCTTTAATAACCTTTTAAAAAGTAAATAGTCTGTGTAAAAATAGTCTTATAAAGATGAATGTGTATGCATACACACAATATTTGGAAACGATAAACAAAGATCAATCATTTATTATATAAATAAAAATAGTAGAGTTTTTTAACGAATATCAAACCGTATGTTTATATTTAGGCCGCATTTTATCAAGTGGGTCAATTTAGTAATGACCGAAGACGGTCGAGACCCTAGAACAGGGAGTTGACTGAAAGTGATGTGCGAGTTGAAAATAAAAATTGGAAGTTTTATATCTATTTTATAAATAAGCAAAAATAAAACAGTTCAGTACATTTTTCTCCTCTGTTAGTGAAGTTTTTTTTGAAGTGAAAACTTCTATAGGCAGGTTTGGATGGGGTAATTCGTCATCGACATGGTCACGTGACGTGTTAACGCTAACACTTAAGAGTGCCGATAGATTTCAAAACCAGATAAATGTAAACAGTTTTAATTTAAGATCAAACTATTGAATATCCAAAAATAACAAATGTTTGTTTATAGTTTTAAGTTTACACTTTTGTCGGCAGTCCTCATAACTGCTTTTTTTTGTTTAGTACGTAATGGTGAGCTTTTATTTCACGATTTAGTGTCTGATTTAGTGTTAGTTCGAAATTCAACCATAGTTTTTATTTTTAAACAACACTGGAAAGGACACTGGGCAACACTAGTTACATTAAATTAGTAAATATTTACGTATTTCATACAAGCATTTAGTAATCGCTTCACTCGGACTCCTACTCTTGTTTACATACTTTCGAATTTTGTAACATATCTGTTATCTTCTATATTAGGGTGATAAGATAAAATGTATCGTATGTAACTCTGACCTAAATATTAGGGTAACTGAACAAGTGTGAACGAAAGAAACAAACCAACAGACCAACAAACCGCGCCATTTAATACTAATTAGTAATTAGTCAAAATGTTATATCAATTTAGATTTATATTAAGATTTACTGTAATTTACATTATGAATAAGACGTAAACATTGACATTATGAAACCCATAACGTTCAATATATTTTCAAATAAATAAATACAAAAGTATTGAGTACCTCTTCCTTTTTGAAGTCGGTGAAAATATTAAAACTTAATGCTTTATCGTATATTAGTTTAAGAATGTATCTATACTCTGTGGTCGACACTTCGCTAACGTCATGGTCAGAAACAGGAATGCAGATCGTAAAAAATATACGAACCCGTCTGAAGTTTAAGACCTAACTTAAAGCCAAATAAGCTTGTTGAGAGAACTTAAAGAATTTTAAAAAATACAATTGGCTTTTTGTAATATCTACGTTATTTATGCACAGTAAAATGTCTTATTAATATTAGTCACTAGTAACGTACCCTTGCTTTGCTTGGGTGTGTCCTTGTGTGTCTGTTAGTCAGCGCCATCTTTTCGCAAATTTTATTACTATCAATTTTTATATGTGCTATTTCAGGTATTACATAGTCTAGAATCTAGATGTATTTCACCTAAATGTTATTTAAATCGATTTAGCCATTTTAGTGTAAAAGAATTACAAACATACACACATAAAATTTCGCATTTATAATAGTGATGTCTATTTTTTTCTATTTTTTTAAATTTATTTATAATGATTTTTATTATTTAATATGTATTATTTATACCTAAATAAAGTACAAGAATCTTAAC